GTTGTTGTTAAGCGCAAGGCAGCTACTATGAGCCACTGGGAAGAGGGGGGGGGGGGTCTGTAGCTTGCTTTGATCGGAAGTTAATATCTAACAAAATCCATCAAATTTATCGGAAAACGCCCACATTGACTGATAAACAGGGTTCTTTCTCTGTAATATATGTGAACAAGCCTTACATAAACTAAACTTTGTTTGTGGTATGGCACTTTTCATAAACAAGTTTAATATATTTTAATATAAAAAGTATAAATTTAATTAATCGATTCCTGATTTTATACTGCTACTCAGCCTAACTTGTATATGGTACATAAAGATAACCGTTACATAGCATGCCGAAATTCGGGATGCCTGCTGTGGGCACAGCAAACAGATAGCCCATCGTGACTGCAGCATTGTGCTTAACATCAAATTAAAAATAGTAAGTGTGCAAATTAAGTACTTTCTTTGTTTGTTTATTGTTAAGCACAAAGCTACATAATGGGCTATCTGTGCTGTGCCCACCGCGCGCGAGGAGGGGGGATTATGTATGTGCAAATTAAGTGCTTGCCTTTCAAAGCAAGAAAAGACTCGCAGTACAATGAACCTCTACATGTATGTATCCATTACTGCTTTCGTAAGTTTGTTTATATTCAAGCAATTATTCTATTCGCTATTTTATGTTCTTCTTTAATAATAAAAACATGCGTACACAGAGTAACGTACTTTCCTTATAATAAAACACGACTAAGTTTCTGTGTTAACATGGCGTTCTTTCAAGAGCAAGATTTTGTGCGTTTCATGAGACTCGTACCGGCTTACATTCCATAAATGGGCATCAAAACTGTACTGTTTTCTGATTGGACACAACTGTAAACGAATTTCATAAAGCCACTCGTGCTGGTAGAGGATGAACCAATTGAAAACACTCGACGTACGGTGGTAGATTCGCATTACCAAATATGGTAAAAATCGGCGCTTGTGCTTGTTGAACTCGAAAAAACCCGTACATTAGCCTTCTTCCGTTAGCCTTTGTATGTGTATTCATGTTTATACACATATATTATAGCATTCAAAATTATTCTGTAAATTAATTAGATTAAAAACAAATAAAATATTTACATTTTTACATAAACAAATATTTCAGATATTACTATTTTCATTTATATATATATATATAATCAGTTTTTGTTATTTTTTAATTGAGATATTTTCTTAAACAATATAAATCCCTTAATTTATATTTTGTTTGGGCTACTTGAAGTTTTTCTCGTTGATACGATAGTCATGTGTAAATTCATATAGTTAACAGGTTCGCCACTGGGGCGCTGATGTCATTGGCGGAAAAAGATAAGTGGGCGTGTATATATTATACTGAGCCGGTGGTTGTGAGCTCACTCGAGTTTCTCGCTTTGCACGTGTGGTTATAATAGGGAACCTTCATACAACATGTGTGACGAAGACGTAGCTGCCCTTGTAGTTGATAATGGCTCTGGAATGTGCAAAGCCGGCTTCGCCGGAGACGATGCCCCTCGTGCCGTGTTTCCATCAATTGTGGGTCGACCAAGACATCAGGTAATATCTTTGTAACTTGTGTTCTGAACTTATTGTTTCTAACCTGCAAGACTCGCTATTTTACTAATGTAATCAAATAAGAAAATCCACTTCACTTATACAGTGTATGATAATATAGCACTAGGTATTCTTATATTATACAGGCCCTATATTAAAATATAGCTATATTAATTAGTGGGGTTAATGTTAATTCTGAACTTTATTTGTAGCTTACTTTGATCAGAAATTAATTGTATACATTAATGACCGAGCTACCGACTATAACTTATAAGAATTAACGATATAATGTTTTCAATGAATCCTAAAGTCAAATTGCAGTATCAACTTAATATTACTGCATGACTCATTTTTTATGAGTACATTTTTCTCAAAAGAAACGTTTTGTAGGACCGATTACATGTAACAAAATGTATATAATTTATATAACTAACTTGCAAACGCCCACATTCTACATCTGCATGTGTAGACGGCAGTTTTTCGATGTCTTGTGGAGCCAGGCAATATTATAACACACACACACACACACACACACACACACACACACACACGATGTTCTGTGGGGCGAGGCCACCAATACAGTATGTGTGGGGGGAGGGGGGGGCTTTTTCCATAAGAAAAAACTGTTTTTTTCCTCTAAACAAATAATTTAAGTTATTTACATGAAATTTTATTAAAAGTAATAATAAATCGGGAGATATTTGACTTTAAGACTCATTAGGTGGGCGTATTTAATTCTTAAAATGTGCTACAGGTTAAAAGAGACTTAAGAACTTTATAGAGCATTAAAGATAACCTTACGAATGGACCTCCTTAAGTTTTACCTACATCTACAAATAAAAAAACATACTGTTTTCTGACGTCTAATAAATATTATTCATCGACAGGTTTATTTTCGCCTCACGACTTTATCAAAGTTTTTTTTTTTCTTCAAGAAAGTGCAAAAAATGATAGATATTGTAGCAGATATCACGAGTAACAAAAGCTGGCTGTTAATTCCATGAATTGTATTAACTTTTTTGGTAATGAGCCTATTGTTTGGTCGTAAAAAGTAAATGTTTTATATGTAAGGTAAGTCAAAGTTTGACTACAGTACAACTAACCCGCCATATAAATAGGTTATACAGGGGAAGTATACGTACAGAAAATCACTTGTTTGCGAATTGTAACGTTTTACGTATTTTAATGATGTGGAATCAACACTGAAACTAGTCATATATCCATTATATTTTGATATTCGGTACAAAACTGAACAGATTTCAGTAATTTTTGTTTTCACTTGCAAGACCTTCATAACTTCATTGAGTTCAAGGGGAACTGCAAATACAATCAATATTGTGAAATTTTAATGGATAATTTTATGTTTTCTAATCACGTATTCTCTCTTCTTCCGTCAACTAGGGAGTGATGGTTGGAATGGGCCAAAAAGATAGCTACGTTGGTGATGAGGCCCAAAGTAAACGTGGAATACTAACCCTAAAATACCCTATTGAACATGGCATTGTTACAAACTGGGACGATATGGAAAAGATCTGGCATCATACTTTCTACAATGAACTACGAGTAGCCCCAGAAGAGCACCCTGTCCTACTGACTGAGGCACCCCTAAACCCCAAAGCCAACAGAGAAAAAATGACCCAGGTATTTTTTCTTACCGTTGTGTTAAACTTTTGTAGTAACATAGGCGATTAAAGTTTGTTTATACGTCCGAATTATGTCTAAGTTTTATAATTTTGAATTGTAATCTTCCAGATCATGTTCGAAACATTTAACACCCCAGCCATGTACGTAGCTATCCAGGCTGTCTTATCCCTGTACGCTTCCGGTCGAACCACTGGTATCGTCCTGGACAGTGGTGATGGAGTCTCCCATACTGTCCCCATCTATGAAGGTTACGCCCTCCCCCATGCCATCCTTCGATTGGACTTGGCCGGTCGTGACCTCACCGACTACCTCATGAAAATTCTGACTGAACGTGGGTACAGCTTCACCACAACTGGTGAGTATTTCATGCTTTAGAGTATCAAAATACTACATAATAATACTTATTTTTTTAAATAAATGTTATATAAATCAGTGCGTCTGTGTAATATACCATATTTAACAACAAATTAAGCGCTTTCGAATTAAATTAATATTCGTACGATAGTATTTGCAAAGTGACAGTCTAAATAAATAGTAAGGTAATTTTTTTTCTAGGCTTTGTTTGGGTTTTTAATTAGTCAGTGCTGTAACGTGTCATAAATAAGATATCATATAAAACTTGTTTCTTGCCAAGTATGGTTATATTAGTTAGGCCTATATTTGTGATCATTTTAACAATGTAAATGGTTATCTACAGCTGAGCGAGAAATTGTTCGCGACATCAAAGAGAAACTGTGCTATGTTGCTCTGGATTTTGAGCACGAGATGACGACCGCTGCCTCCTCCTCCTCCTTGGAAAAATCTTACGAGCTACCCGATGGTCAGGTAATTACTATTGGTAACGAGAGATTCCGCTGTCCTGAAGCCATGTTCCAGCCATCCTTCTTGGGTATGGAAGCCTGTGGCATCCACGAGACCACTTTCAACTCCATAATGAAATGCGACGTGGATATCCGTAAGGACCTGTATGCCAACACCGTGTTATCGGGAGGAAGCACTATGTTCCCAGGCATTGCTGATAGAATGCAGAAAGAAATAGGTGCTCTTGCCCCCAGCACGATGAAAATTAAAATCATTGCGCCCCCCGAAAGGAAGTACTCGGTTTGGATCGGGGGCTCCATCTTAGCTTCTCTGTCAACATTCCAACAGATGTGGATCTCGAAACAAGAATACGACGAATCTGGTCCGAGCATCGTCCACCGCAAGTGTTTCTAAGCCATCATTCCAAATTAGTGTTAATAGCGGTAAATTCGAGAGTTGTTTTTAAGTTATGAAAGAAAAGTGTGAAGAGCAAGTTGCCAGTTAATAAGTTCCAAATGGTAAGGTTGAAGACTTACCATTCATTTACCATCAGTGAAAGTCAGTCGGAATAAGTCTGGAATTTTGAACAGATATAAACTGCACAGTAATGCTTTGTATGTTTGCTTTTGGTTTCACGATTAAAATTCGCATTTTCATTTTTTTTTCCTTGCTTGGCAGTGCAATCACAAGTCAACACTGTCTATTTCTACCAAACTTTAAACTACTGCCAAATGACAAATTTATCTTATTAAAATCTCTTGAGAAACTCAGTTTTGTTGTACATTTAAAACAGAATAAAATCTGAGATGTTTGGTAAGACAAGTATTGTTCTCGGTGTTAAAGCTTATTGAATTTCTTATACAAGAACTTCACAAACATCAAAAATGAATTTAATTTCACAAGAAACAAACTTTTTAAAGCATCTTAAATATTCAAATAAACGTATTTTAGCTTTGCGTCTTTACTTTCTACGTGTACTAGTAAAAACAAACTTTAGGAAATTTTCTTAGCAACTTTACGGTAATTTTTTAGGCCCAATCCCACGTCATACGACTTTGCTGGAAAGCTTCCTGTAATGCAGGAAAACTTATTTTATATAATTTAAAATACGTAGCAAGTTTTATTTTTAGGGATAAATTTACGTATAGAATTTTTAAGTGTATTAGAAATGTTTTTGTTAATGTACACGCGTTAGTAAAGTGTCTTAACACCATATTTCGGTTTAATTGTATGTTACAAGACCGGCACAAGCGTTACTTACATTACCCAGAATTCTACGTTATTGCCAACTCCCCTTAGAAGGCGCTCTTTCATTACCTTATATGGTCATGTTGAAGCGGAGCAGCCGGCGATGACCTCAGTATGCGCAGTATTGATTCATAAAACCGTTTTGACCACACTTGGAACAGAGAAAGACTGTAGTACTACTGGCAGCTGTAAGGGTCACGTGAGGTTGTTGTTTCAAAGGAATTTTTGTCGTAGGACTTGCGTGTATATATTTACGTGAGGGGGGGGGGGGTGAGACGGACGTTCACCTGCATTCTTGAGTTTAAACTCGGCTTTAATTTACAGTTAGTTTGTTTTTTATTAAAGAATTTGTTCTCAGTTAATTCTCAATGTTACGGGACAGAGTTATTTTCATAAAGATTAATCAAAAATGATAGATGGTTAGTTACTTTTATTGGAGACCGAAATTAAAATTAATAGTCAAAGGGTAAAAAAAACCACACGCAGGTATTTTGTTATTAATATAAAATATTGTTATAATTAAGGTTTGTAACGAAACTAAGATGTTTGTTACTAGACATTACAAAATTTATCAACGGTTAAAAACTAGTTTGATACTGACATGAGAAGTCACTCAACTATTTATCAAGTAATTGTTGCCTTTCATTGTTACATATAAATATTACTTTAACCTCTATAATGTTTTTTTATATAACGGTTCGTATATAATAGGCTAGCTGTGAGGAGTTCGTTTTGTAATTTATACAAAAAGACTGCATCACGTATATCGATTTCTTACCATGAGATGGCAGCACTGAATAGTTTTAGATAACCGCTGTCTAGTCTAATGCAGTCAAACTTCAATAAGAGATTAAAAAATATATAGTTTTCATATATACACAAATTGAGATTAAAGTTGTGATTAGCTTTTCAGAATATACTGCTAGGTTAAAAATTAAATATATTTTACTAAATGCACAAAATCATGTAAATAACTTGTGAAGAAGCTGCTAAAGTTACTCGTTTTTGTAATAAGAAGGAAGTTTTATTTAACTAAAACATCAAAGCCGGAAAGACTCATTTCAAAGTGCCTCACGGCTATTTATATTAAATCTTGTTCATTGTTATTACATTAATAAAGACATTCAAGGTTAGCCCAATGTGAAATAATTCGAGAAAATATCCAGTTCACCACTTTTGGGAGGTTTCATTTGAGCATAAAATTATTTTGAATAAATCGCAAATACACGTGATATTTTATTTTTAAACTGTTGCCTAGGGATCCATGACTTACTTGGTTACAGGATGTATAAATAACAAATTTTTGGTAAATCCCTTGCACCAAGAGATGTGTGTAACAGACAAATGACAGAATTTGTAAACTCCAAGGATAACGAACGGTAATTTGTGGATAAAATTGTGACATTTAGTTTAAAACAATACAATTTATTACAACGTAATTCTTTGCAATTTTTTTTTCGGTTTTAATAGTTCACAACTACTATACCCGCAGTGGGTACTGTATGTTCTTAACTATCGGGTTGTAGTGATGACAAGATTATTCTGTCCCCACACATTCAGGAAGTAAAAGAACGGTTTCTTTGGGGAGCTAGTTTTGGCGGGAAAAAGCTATAACCGGAGAGCAAGCTTTTCTCTAGTTTAGATTGCCGAATTAAGAAGTAAACACAAGTATCTCTATAAAGATTACTTCTGTTACATATTAAAATTACAACATAAGCCCGTTTTTCTTTTAGCAATTAACAGTTTAAATCTAAGCTGAAAATATTCCAAAATTTCCAGTCACATTACTATTAGTTCTATCCGTGATTTACAGTTGTTGTGGTTAGGCCCAATATTAGTTTACAGTTGTTGTAGTTAGGCCTGATATTAATTTATAGTAGTTATGGTTAGGCCTCATATTAATTTATAATTCTTTAACCAGTTTCACTAAATACAGTTACACATGTTTGCTTTTATCCATACTTGTAATATAAAGAGTCAATAAACCACCTTGGTAAGAAAACGTTATCCCTTTCCTGCAGCAAACTTTTAAATTAAGCTGTGTTAGTAAGGTATGTACAGAGAAAAAGGACACGTGAAAAATTCTAAACCTCTGGTTGGTTAATTACTGTACTCGCGTTATTCACTGTGACCACAGCGTTTGGATATTATTCAAAACTAGGAAACACAACTATATATTGTTATGTTAATTTTATTGGCAAACTGAATAAAAATGTAACTGTATTAATACAGATAGTTACAAATCACAAATGTAAGCTAAACGAATCATGAAGGTGCCAAATCAAACAAACAAAACCATGAATAGATGATGGTGATTACAGTTGAAAGAATGTACTACAAGTGAACTGCAAAGGTTTGACAGTGCCATCTGTTGGAATGTTTATGAGTTACACAATGTCCTTGTCTTTTGATTCCAAGTCAGGAAGAGCTATTAAAAAAATAAAAACATGCTTTGAAACTTTTCACAAACTACGTACGTTTTAAAACTAAATTATGATGCCTCGTTAATGTTTGTAGAATATGAATTTAATATCTAATAATATGAATACCTGAAGTATAACATTTCCTCAAAATAGATATACCTACTTTACACCATTAAATCAAGTGAACAGTCATCAACAAGGATTTGTTTGCTTCACTAATTTTGAGGTGACAAGACAAAAAGGAAGGCAGCTATTAACTACCATCCACCACCAACTCTTGGGGAACTCTTTACCAGCAAATAGTGGGATTTAATATGACTAAAACGATGAACATGTTAAGTAACGGATTTTTCAATCCTGCAGATTGCTAGTCAAACAACCTGGCAATCAACATGGAAGTAAAGGCTTGAGCTAGATAACCTACTACACAACCTCCAACAGCTAGATAACCTACTACATAACCTCTGACAGCTAGATAACCTACTACACAACCTCCAACAGCTAGATAACCTACTACACAACCTCCAACAGCTAGATAACCTACTACACAACCTCTGATAGCTAGATAACCTACTACACAACCTCTGATAGCTAGATAACCTACTACATAACCTCTGACAACCAGATAACCTACTACACAACCTCTGATAGCCAGATAACCTACTACACAACCTCTGATAGCCAGATAACCTACTACATAACCTCTGACAGCTAGATAACCTACTACACAACCTCCAACAGCTAGATAACCTACTACATAACCTCCAACAGCTAGATAACCTACTACATAACCTCTGACAACTAGATAACCTACTACATAACCTCTGACAACTAGATAACCTACTACACAACCTCTGATAGCTAGATAACCTACTACATAACCTCTGATAGCTAGATAACCTACTACATAACCTCTGATAGCTAGATAACCTACTACATAACCTCTGATAGCTAGATAACCTACTACACAACCTCCAACAGCTAGATAACCTACTACACAACCTCCAACAGCTAGATAACCTACTACATAACCTCTGATAGCTAGATAACCTACTACACAACCTCCAACTACTAGATAACCTACTACATAACCTCTGATAGCTAGACAACCTCGAACTGCTAGATAACCTCCAACCGCTAGATAACCTGCTACATAACCTCCAACTGCTAGATAACCTACTACATAACCTCCAACTACTAGATAACCTACTACACAACCTCTGACAGCTGGATAACCTACTACATAACCTCTGACAGCTGGATAACCTACTACATAACCTCAGTAATTCTAACTGACGTTTTTAATGTACTTTATTAAATATTTATGAATTCAGTACTGAAGTTTTACAGCAGATACACTGTAGTTATTTAAATGTTAAAAACAAACTACTGTAAAACACTTTTATAATCTTTAATTATGTCGTCCTTCTTTTATACAAGTTATTCTAGTAATTCCAAAAATACGGTATCAGAAAAGAAGAAAGTTAAACATTACCATCATCATCATCACTATCTGGTTCATCATCCTGCAAAAACAAGAATTATTGAGTAATTAGTTTCAATTACAATATTACATTACTTCTAATAAAATCCTCTTGAATAAACAAATTCTTTTGGGCAATAAAAAATACCTGTGATATAAGTTAATAGAAACGTACATTTCAAGAAAAATGAATGGAAAAAGTATTCAAATATGTTACCGTTTGACAAAATAGCTACTGAAAAATAAAGGCACTCAAATTCACAAATTTTAGTGTTCAAAATGTATAAAATAAACACTATCAAACCTGAAACGTGTTATTTTTATTACATTACTTGCAATCACGGGGAAATTTACAACAAATTATTGTACAGAACTAATAACAGTAAAACCAATAAGAAATCAGAAAGATATGTTGTACAGAATAACCTTACAGTTTTGTGATTTTTCGTCAAATTTTAGAAAAGACCAAATTGTCTCTAGCATAAATATCTGGTGATCGGTTTGGTAATTATAAGTTACTCCAGTGATGGGTGTGGTTCTCATAGTGTCATTGGTAAAAATAATTAAGATTACATTTTTAAAATATCCAGAGAAAATATACTGTTGTAGTTTTTCAATATTCTTAAGCTATTAATGAAATTTCACAACTTGTAAGATAATCCACACAGTTACTGTTCTTCTGTTCAGATACGATATGCTGAATAAGAAAGAATATTAGTTTTCTGTAGCTTGACGTAGCCAGATGGAATGTGTGTAGCACGAGGAACCCATGTAGTGTGACATAGCCAGATGGAATGTGTGTAGCATGAGGAACCCATGTAGCATGATATAGCCAGATGGAATGTGTGTAGCGCAAGGAACCCATGTAGTGTGAC